TAGAGCCTGATGATGCGTCTGCTTTCAGAAGCCTTTCCTTGCTTAAATAGAGGTCCTCTTTATTTCCTTGGAGCAAGATTTTTCATCCAGTGAGCTGTGATTCCACCCCCAGGGCTTAGGGGAAGACAGTGATGGCAATTAAAGTGGTCTTAAGACATGGAAAGGATGGCTAAACATTTAAGGAAAAGATGCCTTGCAGAATGAATGCAGATTATTATAGAGGATTATTGTGATCAGTAAACTTTACTATAACAGTAAGTATACAAATGTCATGATATGAAGCAAGGTGATGCTCCCCTAAAAACATAACACCCCTCCAAGAACAAAGGTTTCAGAGGGGCTGCACACATGAAATAGAAGGTGATATAGAGAATAATGTCTTCAAAAGCAGGCTTCAAATGTAGAAGTGCATATTTAATTCTAAAGTAAGAGGTGGGCTCTGATGTATGCCATGCTTCAGGCATGAAAACTTCTTACTGTAACATCCTGAATTCTGCTTGGTTGTCAAGTTCCTTAATTCCCTGGGAAAGCAGGTTGGCAGGCTTGTGGCAGAGGTTTTTAGTATCTTCTACTGCCAGAGGAAGAACACTGTGCATTTCTCTCTGGTCTTCCTTTATCTTTAGTGGATTCCTGTAGGGCAGAAGGTTGGACCAGAGTCTTTTTGCAATTAGACATGTAAATAATGGATTTTTATTTTTTGTTGCTGTGATCAAAATGTTGAATGTATTCCATATTCTTGCTACCTGCAAAACTGTACAAACCCTTTGGTTTGACCCAAAGTATTTCACATAATGTGAAAAAAATACTTCAGCTTTTTCCTTAATATTCTTCATCTGTTTAGTCCTCCTCTCCTTTTCACTTGTATTTTAATTAAAAAAAAAAAAAAAAAAAAGTATTAATTTTAAAATTTCAAAATAGAACGGTTCTACTTTTGAATCTGTTCCTCTGTTTTTTATGTGGTGAAATTATTGCTAGTTTTTGGTACAATGGAAACAATTTTGTGAGCATACTGTTCTCTAGAAATTAAGGTGTGTATTGCTGTCTAGAGTTGTACTTTTCAGAATTTTACCCATTGTACCTTGTACATACTTACTAATTCACATTTTTTGAAGCACTCTGAAATAATAAGACAAGAAAATCTCTTTTCTTTTCAAGTGCTAGCTTTCTTTTTGATGGATAATTTTTACCTGCTGTAGATAGGAAAATTTTCTCATGTTCTGTAGTTAATAACCATCAGTTAGATGAGATTTGTTTTAAGTATGCTGCACATTTCTTAGCATATATCATGACTCTCTGTGGGAAACAGCTCTTATTTAGCAGCCACATTTATCTGTGCTGGCAACCTGGTATTACAAATATTTTTAAAATTTCTTTGACTTATTTTATGTAGCAAATGCTGAAATACTAAGGCAGACTAGAGAAAATGTTGCAGTATTTACAAATTGTTTGTAAAAGTATGCTGTTTTATATAGCAAATACTTTAGACTAACTATAGAGGAGTAGGCTGTTGATCACTTATAACAAATACATGGAATTCATACAAGTTTCAGGAATATTTTAGTATTTTTTCTGATAATGCTGCCAAAATAATCCTAAGAACTTGAGTAAGGTTACTAATACTTAAATTGGTAGTGGTTGCAATGTAGATATAAAGAAGCTAAGAAAAGCCCCCAGGATTTAGGTTAACTGTGTGAGCCTTGTTATATTCATAGGTATTATTACAGTGTCATTACAAATATGATTCCTCATGCCATTTTTCTGATATTTTTCCACTGAGGAACACAGGGAACTATACTGCATCAGAACACCAGCAGTGTGCTGTTAATATACCTGTAGTCCAAACAGAACCTACCTCATTAATTCCCAGATATGGAAAATGCTTGGTTGTTAACTGGTCATAAGGATGAATGCCTGCTTGGAATTCCCTCCCTGCCTCTGCTACCAGAGTTGCTGTGGGATGCCAAGTAAATCACATAAACTGACAGAGTCTCATTTAGTCATTAATCATATATTACTGATTTTGTGAATGCCCAAACTAAGGCACCTGTGGCCAAAACTTCTATAAAGTGTTCACCACTGCAGTAAGATGCAGTGAGAACAGTGCTTTAAGTATGTGCAATAAAACTGTTAAATAGACTTGACATTGAGAGGTGTTGAGATAGGCACCCAGAATTACTCTTAGTCTCTCTTTGATCTCCACTTTCTTACATGAAAATAATAGTCTAACCTAATCTTGTGAAGATTATGAAGAAAAGCATTAACAGTATTTGCAGGGCAGTAGGTGCCAGTGCAGTGAATGATGAATTATGCACTTAGGTTAGAAACCTGGTTGTCTTTTGTGGGAGAACATGTACTGCTTTTAGTTATATATTTAGGCCTGACCCTGCAGAAAACTCTGTTTTTTCTCTTACTTAAATTACTGTAAAATCAAATTCTTAGTACAGTGATCAAACACTAAAGTATATAATAATTGGGCATTATTGTTCAGTCCAATGTAGTTTTAAAGTAACACTACCTACCTGGCTTTTGAAATGAAATAGTAAACAAATTATTCTAAACAAGTCTCCTGTCTTAGTCATCATTCTATTTTATTTATTTAAGTTTCTCTTTGGAGCAGAATACAAAAACTTTATTACTTTTTACTGAGAATCTTCTTATAAACTAAGGAAATAATATAGTCCCCATTTGATGGATTTGGAAGTAAGATACGGTCAAAATAAACCCATACACATTAAAAAACATCAGTGTGTGAAAGTGTGGGGCTTCAGTTTCAAACTTAGAGGTGCCGGCCATTAGACTGAACTCTGGACCGAGCTCCTCATGTTGTGAATGGCACCTCAGAATGTGTCACCCAAAGCAGCCAGCCAGGTCGGCAGAGTGTCCCAGACTGTCCCCTGCCGTAGCCCTCTGCTGACGGAGAGGGAATGTCTGAGCCCGGGGTAGGTCTGGAATGGTGTGTCTAAGGTTCTCCATGCATTTCATGCTTGGTAGCTGCTGGGTGAACGGCAGAAGCAAGACCCAGTGTTTGAAGATGGTTGATTGCTTTGACAATATCTCTTGCCTCAAAGCCCCTGAGAGACCAGAGGCATGGGTAGTTTCTGAATTGTTCAGCTAGGGGTGACCTTGGTGTGAGCCATGGAGGCCTGGCAGTCCAGAACTGTTCTGGGCAGGCAGAGAGGTACACAGGGAAACTTTACAGGCAGAATAAAACTACATTCAGTGTTAGGCAGGAGACAAATTAGAGTTTGCAGCATCGCAGCTTTCGTACCTTGGCTCCATCTCAGGCACCATTAAATGCCTGTTCTGTATTTGCCAAGACACATTAATTTTAGTGCAATAAGTTGAACCTTGATTTTTCTTCTCTCTGCCTATTATTTTCTTTGCTTCTGTTGTCCTCTTTCTTATTATGGACAGATTTGGCCACTGTCAAATTGAATGATTTTCTTGCATATTTGGTTGACTGACTTTTTTTCCCTAATTTGCTAATACAGTCAACTGTGCCAGTAAAGCAGTTATGCAAAATTGTGTATAAAGGTTTAATGATACAAAACAGTGTTCATCACAAATCTAATTGTAATTCTTAACATCCTTCCATAAACTCTGTGGTTAATACCTATTTTTTTAAAACCTGTATTTAGTTTAGTAGATAAGGGGATGTTTAATGTACATGTCACTGTTAACTTTGAAAGGGAGCAATAAATAAAAATAGTGATTTGGAAGAGTTCAGATAATGATCTGTGTGCTTTCAGATAGGGATTATTAACTGAACTTGTTCAGGAAAAGAGCAGTGAAGCAATACTTGGTAATACTTGCACTGACGCCAAAAATCCCATTGGCTTTTCTTAATCCAGAATATAGAGCATTTAGAAACATTCCAAAGCCGATATTTCTCCTTCATGTTTGTGATGATATTTTCTGATTTCTGCACTACTGCTTTCCTCAGAACCCTGGCTGGGATTTAATCCTACCACAGAAAGTACTGGCGAGTCAGATATTATTATTAGGATTGACATTTAGTAGAGTCCCATTTACGTCAGGTCATTATGTACTGCGGGGAGAGACCTTCTGCCACAGTCACTAGAGACAAAGCTCATGCTGCTTCCATCAGGCGGGGTATGAGAAGGGAGAACAAAAAATGGTTCCCCTTTCTGTCCCCTTCTTGATAAGCAGTTCTAGGCTCTATGTCACCTTTGCACAAAGGAAATGCTCCAGACTGAAAGGACAGGGAAGAGGTAACAACCCAGCAGTGCTTTCTGCTACCTCAGGGCCACACTTGGATGCTGAAGTGTGAAGGTGAGTTCTGTTCACTTGGGTCACTCCAGCTGTTGAAATGTGTGAGCTGTGTTATACTGAACAGAGCAGTCTGTAGCTTATATAAACAGCTTTAATTTACTGCTTTCTGAAAACAGAGGCCTGAAGCAGTCATGGAGGTTTCAGGAATGTTAATTGTTTGTGTACATGAATGAGCTTAGAAATAGTAGTTTTTGCAGTCTTCCCATAGCTCATAAAGGGGTAACGGTGTCACTGCTGGAGAAAAGAAAAGAGAATGATTATTTTTTTTCTTCACAGTCTACTAATATTTTCAGGGCTTGATATAATGTGCCTTTAACAAACCATGAACTTCTCTCCTACTGAGTCACTGCATCCTGCCTACATTCAGTGTAGGCAGAGAACCATTATACTAATCCACTCTTCCATCATATCTCTAGCAAACCCATGTATTTTCTTCGAATATTTAGTTTGATACAAGGAGTGCAAAATTTTTATTTGGCAACACAAATAAGTAGGAGATTGTGACTTCTGAACTTTGAAACATTAATTGTGGGAGTTCTGGTTTTTAATTATGATATGATTTGACCAATGTATGACAACGATATTTGGCTTTAAGGGAATAATCCTGCCACCTCACAGCAACCTTAGAGTAATTCATTGACCTCTGCAGGTAGGATAGGTTTAAAAGGCAGATGCTGAAATTGGACTTTTGCTTTGTTTTTTAACAGGTACGGTTATATGCAAGGCCTGATGCAATCCGAAGAGGATCGGGGGACTATGCTCTAAATATTACAAGGAGACTCATTGAGTTTTATGAGGATTATTTTAAAGTGCCCTATTCCCTGCCAAAATTAGGTAAGATTTCCCGAAGAATGTGAAGTAAACCCAGGAATGAGAGATTAAGGCAGCTATTTTAAAGAAATGTAATGTATTTGATTTCAAGTTAAATGTTTGGGTTAATTTAGGAGGATCAGTAAGCAAGAAATTTTTCCTTGTAGAGGAAGGGAAGCCAAACTATGCTTTCTCCAACCTGGAACTGAAAGGAGCAGGAAGCAGGCAGTACTTAGATTTGTTAGACAATGGGTAGAGAGCCTGAGAACTTTCACTGGTAAGAGGGCTGGGTTTTTTCTTTTTTTTTTTTTTTTTTTATGTCTGTTTTGGTCCTTAACTCCTATGAGATAGCCACTGGAAGGTGTTTATTCTGTAATACTTGTACCTTGCTGTCTCAACCTTAAATGGGGAACAGAAGTGAAAATATTTGTGGAAACCTGTAGCAGTGCAGGACTGTGGGCTTGTTTTTTCTTTTTTGTTTTTATGGCTCATATGGCTTATTAATGATGATTAGTAGACAAGCTTATTGTCATGTTGTTTATTGAAAAATATTGTTGTGAGTTTGTTTTACTGTGACCTAAATGTAAACCCCATAAATTTCTATTATTTTTTAAAAACAATTTCTTCTCATCTTCCCTTTCACCACAATCAGTTGGTCTCCTACTCATTTAAATAGTTCCCACAGTATTATTATGCCTTCCCTCCTTTGGAGCATGTTTGATAAAGATTCAGAAAAACCTATTGCACGAGGCAATATGTATTTGATCAGAAGTGTTGGAGTTGGAACCACAGGTGATCCTCCCAGGAAGTCAGGTTTTATTTCATTAAATCCCTTGCCTGCTTTGTACGTTTGTTGGACTTAGAGCTAATGGTGTCAGAGACAGATAATGTAATTGATGTTTCTAGATGAGTGTATTGCATGAGTATTTTTATAACTGTGTTGTGGCATTTATTTCTTGGTGTATTTTAATAACAGGTTACAGGTAGTGTTCTCCTAGAGAAATATGCAGATGGCATATTTAAGTATACAGAAATGAACATGTGTGTACTTTCATGTATGTCTTCAAGTGTGTTAATAATGTTTTGTAAAGGAAGTTCTAGGCTTACAGGGGCCAAAAATTTAGAGGTGAAAAAATAATCAAGAACTTGCTGAATAGAAAAGATGAACATAGAACAGTTTTGGTTGAAAGGGATCTTAAAGATCATCTAAACATCATTATTTCAGGTAGTTTATTGAGAATGCCAGCTGGCAGCAGTGGTAGTAACTGTATCTGCTTCAGAGTATCTTTCAAAATTGTAACATGGTCTTTAAACCCAAGGTGCTATATCAATTGCCACTGTGCTGTGCTTTTAAAAAAAAAGTCATTGTAAGTGAATATATTCCCGTTTGTATCTTTTTGGAACAGAACAGGAGGAATAGTAGCAAGTAAAGCTGTACTTTTTTATCAAATATTTGCAGTAAAATTGTTAATAGGAAATAGTGCATGAATACTTTAGCCATTCAGTAGTGATACTATGAAAATAATTACTATAGAGGATAATTTTTTATAATATAGTGAGGTTGTATTTATTTAACATAAACATAGGAGAAGAAATTTCTAAACTCAGTGCTGTAAATATTTTAAAAAAATTTATTTGCAGATTGGTACAGGTATATTTGTTTCAGTTCGTCAAAACACTGATTGCTATGTTTAAGCATATGCTGGTGTCTTTAACCTGAAAGAACATGGAATTTTTATTTTTGTTTTAAACTTGAAAAAGAATTAATAGGTTAGAAGGTTAGGGACAGTAGTCTGATGAGTGAATAGAAGGACTAAAATTGGTAATAATCTGTCTGTGATAAGGATTTCTCAGTAGTACCGAAGAGTTTCCTAAATGAAAATACAAAACGGCACTAGTGATAGCAGTGAAAAAAGCATGTGCATCAAGTAGATGTGTGGATCCTGAAAATGCGCCTGGGCTCTCCAAATGCTTAGGACTCACCTGATTTAGTGCTGTCAGCACTGCAAAGGATTGAGTACTTTATTAAGGTTTTAAGCAAAATGAGCATGTTTTCTTTGGCGGGGCATTTCAGAAGTTTTTAATTTCACTTCTAAGTGTGAAGGTGGGAGTGAAAAATAAAGAATGTACTTTGGAAAGCTTTTTAATGTCAACAGTTTTATAGAAAATGTTCTCTTTCAAACATAGATTTTTTTTGAAAAAAATTGTTTTGTGTACTTTGCAGTTCTAGCAAGAAGAAACTTAACCAAATGTAATTATTTTGGTTGAAAGCACAATTTGTTTACAAAATAATTTTGTTGAAATATTGACCAGTTGACTATGGAGGTGCTGTACCAGCTATTGAGTGCGACAGTTTTAGTGTCACTGGTGTCTGTAGGGCTGTCTGTGTGAGTTGGAGCTACAGATGATTCTCCCTGGATGAGGGACCTGCCACTTTTGTCAGAGCGCTTTGTCATTTATGTGGTCATCCACTTGAGCTCTATGTATGGTAGGAGTATCTGAGGACATTTAGGCTCTTTAGATGTGTTGCTGTATCAGAAAGATCTGTGTTCATTTGTTCACTGCTGAGTCATTGAGGTCCATTTCCAAGGCATTTGAAAGTAGTGCTCCTTACTTGTGTTTATAGTACATCAGGCAGTGTTCTCTACAGTAACCAATTCCTCCTGTTGCTCTTGACTGCCTGACTGGTGCTGACCAGGCTTTCTTGCTGTGCTTAGATGCAGTCAGGTGGCTGTGGCTTTTTTTCACATCTTACGTGGTCTGTACTGCGTTCTGAATGCACTGGAGAAGTAGATTTGTTTTCCAGTTGATGTGAATTCTAGTAATGAATTTGAATTGGGAATTTCTCTAACTGGAATTAACAATTTCCACAGTTAAAACTTCTACTTAGTATGTAGGTCTCTGCTTTATTTTCCTACATCATACTCTGAATTGGAAGGTGTTTGTGTAAGGTTTCAAACCAATAATTTTTATATTAATTTAATTTATGAAAAATAAATCATGTCTTCTAAAAAAACCTAGATTTTTCCAAGACTATAATACTATCATTGCAAACATTAGTTGAAGTGATGGGTAAATAAACTATTGAATTTTATTTTATCTAAAAAGGTATACAGAAAGGTTTTTAATTGTGGCTAGTGAATACAAAATATTTCTGTATTTATATCACGTAGTTATTTTTAATCCTGTTTGCACTGCACAAAAAACTGCTTTGTATGCATTGAGCTTTTTCTTATGAGGGTCTTAGAGGCTGCAAAGGTCTTGAATTTTTCCCCCTGAAGCCCTGGCCAGTTGCTGTTTTGAAGTGCATGGAGCTTAAAAATTTAAAAAGGACAAAAAACAAACAGAAAACCACCTTAAAAGAGTCTTCAAAGGTTAAAGTCACACTGTGGGGAATGAAAAGGTAATCAAACCTTCTTGCTATATGGACAGCTGTGATTCTTTAGTTGTGAATGGTTTGAGGTGGAGGGGCTGACTGGCTTTTCCAACCAAGACTCCATGGCATGTGGGGTCACATGAGAGTGGAGTAGAGTGGCAGAATCCCCTCCCTCACCCTGCTGGTCAAACTGCTTCTGATACAGCCCAGATTGGCTCATGTCCAGCCTCTCCTCCACCAACACCTCCAAGTGAAGTATATTTTCAGACTTCTTGAAGTCCCTTTCTGTAGATTTGCTATAGTATACTTCGGAGTTTCATCTGATATATTTTATGTGGTTGTTGTTTGGTGGGGTGTTTTTCCTTTACAGGTATGGATGGGGTACTAATTACCTGCTTCATGCAAAAATTTTACGGTTTTGTTTTCATTATGCTGCATTAAACACTTTTAAGTTGTGAATGCAAAGTTTCAGAAAATTATTTTCCAAGGGTTTTAGTGAACATGCTGCACAATGGAAGACAAGATTGGACCATTAACATTTACTTGTGGAGTAGTTTGGAGGATTCAGTTTTTAAGGTATGTCACTGAAGAACTGAAACTCTTATGATGTAAAAAAATATCTCAGCCATTAGCATGAGTAAGTTTAGCAGGGGAATGTTCCCGTTCTGATTTTTAGAAGAAGCTCATTTACCTCTGTTCCATTCCCTGATGTTTGACAGTGAATATTTTGGTGAGAGAGAACTGCTGCTGCCTGGTGCAGTGAGGCTCCTTGCAGGCCCAGAGAAGAAGTGTTGAGATGCTGTTGTTACGTTAGCCAGATGACTTGCTGTGAGCACTAGTGATTAATTGTTTATTTTGGTTTAAGTACTTTACTATTATCTTGACTCTTGGATATTCTCCTAACCTGTTCATTGCAATGTTGCCTTCTGCCCTGCTTGATTTTCCATCATCTCCATCAGCAGTTCTTGTGCTACTGCTTTCTTCCCCTTCATTTGCCCTTTCTCCTGTTTCTGCTGCTCCTTGAGGGGGAACCTCCATGTTGTTACCTGCATTCTCTGCTTAGGTTATGCTAAAAGTTTCACAATTCTACCCTCATGCTTTCTCTCTGACCAGTGAGGCTTCCTGCCACCTGTCCAGCTCTGAACTGAAATTACTGTACATCACCAAGCAAGATAGCTAATTTTTTCTTCTCTGTCTATAAAATTTAAAGCATTAATTAGTACTTCTAGAACAGGGAAGGCTGGGAGAGCAGTCATGAAGAGCTTGATTCATGTGCCTAAGCATAATTAACTGGTACTGTTAAATGCCATGGGATATTGTGAGATGTCTTAGCTAATGTCCTGCTGGCTTTCAGATGAGATTCTGTTGGGCCATTGGTGGCCCATACCTGACAGTTTCACATGGATTTATTGTTTTTTAATAGCTTTGAACATCTCAGTTGGGACTGTCACCCATGTTTAGCCAGCAGAGTTGAAGTCTGCTATTTTCTTTGACCAACTGTTTGAAGCAAACATAATTCTTCTGCACACAGAATGTGTGATTTGTTATGTTGATACAGATCATTCCTACACAGAGAAACTGTGTAGCTTCTTCCCTTTGGGGTGTAGATTTGGCATGTGAGGGCTTTTTAGTTATTTTTATTTATTTA